TCTTTCCTCACCTGATTTGCCGTCATCCAAGTATGACTCCACTGGGTTAAAGGAACCTTGTTCATAAATATTTCAACTCCTTTCTTAACTTAGTAACAGAACTAATCACACAATGGTTTTTGGTAACATCTTGCCTGGCAAACTCATGCTAAATTTGCTGCTTGTGGTCACCCAGAAACTCCTTGTTACTCCCCAATTGTCCCCCTCTCTGAAGGAAATGTGTGTAAGTCACTCCTATCTCCTCCATGCACTGGGGTGACAGTGCCTCTGATGCATCTGACTGCTTTTCTGATCACATTTCTGTGTCTTCCACCATTCTGTTACATTGTGCCCTCACAATGCCCAATGCTCCTCCCTTGTTAGTGCCAGCTGTAAACATCTGCATGAAAGGACAAACCCAAGATACCCTGGGTTGTGTTCCTGTCCAGGGAGAAAGTTTCCCTCAGAGCTGCTGTAATCCTGGGTAGCTGATGTTGAACATCACAGTCCTGGATTATCTGACACTGGTCCCAAAGGAAACCTTACCCCATTGTTCTCTTTCTTGGTGTGTTCCCAGGAGACAAGAGAAACCTGTACTGGAATTCCAGCCTGGCGAATGTCTTGCAGGGGGACATTAAAGACTTGACCTCCATAAAAGACTTGGCTTGGCCTCTAAAGACATGAGGGAGACCCAGGTGAGCGAGCTCAGCCCAGTTTTTCCTCACAAGACCTTAATCTATGCCTAGTTTGTTTGGTCCAATATAGCTTGAGTTTATGGTGTATCTCCTGCATGAACCCTGGTTAATGGCTGCAGCCTTGCTCAATACAAATCCACTCCAGATGTTTCTGGAGAGCACAGACAGGATCCATCCCAGTGTTGAGCTCCTCTGAAACATGGGGCAGCATCTCTGCTGAGAAAGACCAAAGTGCATAGGTGCTTTGCTGGGGACAGTATTGTCCAAAAAGTTTCCTGGTCCATGTTTAAGCTGTGTCCTACAGCCCAGGTGAATTCTGCAGTTGACCAGCCAACCTGAGCTGAAATATTGTTCATACAAGTGTTTCAGTTAACATTCATGAGTGAGAGATCTAATGCAAGGAATTATTAGGGGGACTTAGTGAATTCAGGAACAGCTAGTACAGTGTGTGGCTGGTAGGTGTGGGGGAGACAGTTTGCTTGCAGCCAAGGGTTACCCAAGGTTGCAATGGACTTAAGGGAGTGGCCAGACATTGGGCCACTGGAGAAGCTGAGGCTAGTGCATCATTCTCCCTCCCTTTCAGAGGAGGCAACTTTATCCCCAGCCTGACTAACCGCTGTATAAACTGTGCACTGGGCATCTGCTCCAGATTTATTTTTTTATTCTAGCAAGAAAATGATGAACTGCAGTTGACTACAGGAAAAACCCTCATGGCACTTGCCAGCACCTTTTACAATTGGGTGATGTACGAGCTGCAGAGTCACATAGGCTTCATGGAGCTCCCTCCAATTTTCTCCTTCATTACACTGGGCGACCTTGCCTATGGAACAGCATTGCCTCCCTTACTTCCAGGCTCTGATCAGGGATTGCGGAGGGAGGGGATAAATACCACTCTGTCCAATGGGGCCATCACAACTGAGCTGGATTTGGGGCCCAAAGAGTCTGGCTCCAGGATCTAAGGTGCCAGCACTAACTTCATAACAGCTGGAAGGGCCTTCAGGACAGAAAGGAGTGGAGATCAGGTGGGCAGGATCCTTGCCCCACCCCAACATGTCCCTCCACTCCCTCCTCCTCCCCTGCATCTGGGTATGAGAGGGGCAGCAGACAGAATTGCTCTACATAGGGGAGTTCACTGTGGGGTTTCAGTGACATCTTCAAAGCCCCTTTATGCTGCTCACCCAGCATGTTCCTGAGAGTGAGAGATGAAGGTGGACAGGAATGTCTCTAACTGCACAATGTAACCTCCCTCCCTGGGCTGGCTGGAAGCTCTGAGCAATGAGCAGGATTGTGCCCTTTATGACTCTTGCAAAGTACTTCCCAGGAGCTGTCACCAAGGCTGGATCTGCCTCTAGTCCCTGGGGCTCTTGGTCTAGGGGTAAATGGAGCAGGTTGAATCCTAGTTTCCATGTGCTCACTTTCTTTAACCTCATGAGCAGCATCTGGCTGGGCAGCGAGGACCCAGAGGTGAGGGCTGCTGTCTCTCTAGCTCCATAGCACAGCTGTCATGTGTCACTATGTCTGCCTGTCTGTGCAGTCCTGGCCAGGAAGACCCACTCTCAGGGGCTCATATCATGCAGGGCCTGGATGACTGGGTCTGGGACTTAGTGGCCTATATTTTCAAGCAGTCCAGCTTGTCTGGCAGCCAAATGGTAAGAGAAATTGAGGCTTGAGACTTGGTGCTGCTGTCCTAGCAGGCTGAAGCCTGCCATTGGCTTGAGCAGGAGCATGGGGTGCCCCAGAGCAGCCAGGCTGAGTCATTAGAGCCAGGGTCAGACCATTTCCACTGGTACAGACCTAAGGGAGCTCTCATGATGTCAGTGCAGCTACTCTGGATTTTCCCCAGACTGCCAGCGAGACCAGACTCTGACCTGCACTATGTACATCTTCTGATCAGGCTGAGATTTGCCCCTTTAGGCACTGAGGAGTGAAAACCCTGACCACACAGTCTGTCAGGGAAACTTCCTTGAGAACAGAAATGCTCTCTTGTAGAAACAGACTCCCAAAGATGTGTCTTGGTGCCCAGGACAGCTTGGCCCATTGATAGAATCACATTGGTGAGACACGGAGGATTGAGCTAGCTGGGCCCCTGGAGCAGACAGAGCTGAGCGGGTATGTGATGCCTGCACGTTAGTGTCCACTGGGTTGAATCTGAAGGGTTGTCTTGGAAGGACAAGGGAAGGGAATACTTGGCAGTTTTCAAGACATAACCCACTCCCAGGCCCCAGAAACACTCTGTATCCAGCAAGTCATTCCACAGTGTTTGAGGTGTTTGTGAACTGGGAACCTGCCCCACCAGCTTGGTTTTTCTTTTATCATCTCAGCTCCAGTGAGTTGTGCTCTGAGCAGAACATAAAATCAGTGGTAACTCTGCAGCATTCAAGCTGGCTGTGAAGGAAATGGAAATGGTGTGTCCAGTCAGTGCCTCTTGACTAGCTCATGAGCTTTCTCTGTCTCTTGTGCAGAAGTCCAAAAACTGTTCCAGTCAGGCTGCTGAGGAGAAACATAGCATCCAAGCCACCTGTGTGGAGATCCTGGAAAATCTGGATGTCTCAATCAGTGGCATGAGCCGAGTAGGTGACTAGTTGCTGCCCTTGCATTATCAATCCATTTCTTTTCATCCCCTGTACCTCTCCACTGGGCAATTCTCTGCATTGGCAGGGTAATGGAGATAGATCATGGCCAATGCTGGCCAGGAATATGGAGCAAGCTGCTGCCATTTAAGAAATTACATACAACACCCCGCCTGGAAGGAATCCCTGGGCTGAGATGGCCTTCTCATTCTTTCCCCTTGCTCTGCTCAGTCTTCTCTGAAATTGAGACTAGTTTGGCCTGTGTTAGAACAGGGTTTCAGAGATCAGCTATTCCTGAGAGTGAGAGATGAGGTCACAGGTGGGGGAAGGACCCTCAAGTAGGTGGGTCATTGGTGAAGAAGAGAAAACTGCCCTTGAAGACTGGATGAAGAGAGTTGGGTGCAGGAGTACAACTAGCTGAGTCCAAGCTGCCTGGCTCTTCTCTCCAGGTCTTATGGCCCCAGCTGCTGGAGTACATGCTGCCAGTTCAGTACAGCTGCACTCTGACTCCCCTGTGCCGTTATCTCAGGGACCTGGCCAAGCAACCACAGTGGGAGGGTGAAGAAGTGGCTTGCACGGACTGCAGCAAAGGAGGTTTGGAATGCAGATCCCTGTGGGATGAACCAGCTCCAAGCGCCTTTTAGAAAATCTTTGGTCTCTTCCATCCACAATGAGGAGGCCCAAAGGCGGGAGGGACAGCTGGGTCATTACAACCTGAGCCAGGCAATGTGGGCTCCCCAAACCCAGTGCTGTCCCAGATTTATGCTGTGCCATAGGGGAATCCCAGGGCCTTTCTGCCTCAGCTTTTCCACCCATCCAATGATAACTGAGCAGTGCCTGCCTCACAGAGGGGCTGGGAGTGAAAGCTCCTTCGTAAAGCTCCTTCAGATCCAGACACGGAAGGTGCTGTGAAAGTGCCAGTTGTGCCCAGCTCCTGGAGTGTACATGGATGGTCACATTGGGAATGGACAGGCTTGTAGCAGCATTAGTCCTGTTCTAAAGTAGTCACATATGGCCATGCTCTCTTTCTCTTTCCAGCCAAACTTCCTACTGCCCAGGGGCTGCTGGCGCGACTCCTGGTGAGTAGCCTTGGAAAGGTTCCTGCCAGAGGTGTGGGGAGGTCACTGGTGTGGGGGACACGTGCCTGTAGCTTTAACTGGAGGAACACTCTCTGTCTCTTCCCACACTCAGAGCTGCCCTGTGCTGGCAGAGGTCCCTTCCCTTTGCAGAGCAGAGCCAGGCTCTGCCTCTGCCTCTGCCTCACAGCCTGTGGAGGGGCCTGCAGGATCAGCCAAGCACAGCACATTGGCCTGTGTCTGTTTGTTGAATGCTCTGGCCATGTATGGTGGAGGCCAGCATCCCTCCTAAAGAAAGCCACGGATCCCCACTCCAGAGCTGAGCCCCTTTTTCTCTCTCACTGTCAGGTGGTTGCCAGGAACTGGGGCAGCAGATGCATTGTGCCCAGGGACTCCTTACGGTCAAATGCATGAGGAGGCCCTGTGCACAATGCATCACTGTCCCAGTTCCTGTCAATCACAAATTCTCCCCTGCCGCTGCCCCTGCCCTGACATCCATGGCTCAGCATGGCACTTCAGCTCTCTCTGCCTGAGTTATCCAGGCTGCAGGACAGAGATGATGAGGCCTGGGTGCGTCTGAAACAAAAAACTGGTGATGAACAGCCCACAGTGCAGCATTGCCTAGAAAGCTTCAAATGGTACCAGCTTTCTGGGCCCCAAGCAGACCCCTCATGAGGCTCCAATAAGCCCATCACAACCAAGGGACAAAACAGCCGCTCCCAGGGAAACCAGTCCCATTAGGTTCCCACCAGGTCCTTTGCAGTTTGGTCCCCAGGGCTCCTCCCCACTTACCAGCATGTACTCCAGGAGCTCCTCTTTGTGTGACCTGGAAGCTCTGGGAGTCATCAGTGTCCTGGATGGCACAGCTGATCTCAGTGACTGACCAGATGAGAGTCAGCTTTAAGTCTGGGTCCTGATTTTCATGGGGGAACAACAAGGAAATGGGGATGAACGGAGAAGATCCAAGGTGCAGAATGTAAAGATTAGGGATGAAATGCACTTCATTTGTATCCCTGAGAAATGTCTACAGGCCCCAGAAAACCCCGGGCCCACACCCATCTCAGACAAGGTGCATGACAGCAGTAGGGACTCCTGCCTGGGGAAGGTCATCATGCCTCATGTAGTCAGGGTCTGAGAAGAGCATGAGCAGGGGTGGGGGTCATTGAACATTTACCTTATTGATGATGTTGATGCCAAGCATCTGGGAAATGAAATGCAAAACAATCATCAGAACCTCCTGATGACGTAATGATCCATGCAGGGGAGCAACTGCGTTTTGGGGGCATGGACAGCAATTTGGCTATAGGCCAGTACCAAGGCCCTGTGGGTCCTGGCTCTTCTCCCTTGGTGATAGTCCTGCATGGGGTGACACAACACTCATATCAGGGCTTCCCCTGTCTTCTGTTCCCCAAGTAGGAATCACTGCTGATCAAGGAGTTGCCACAGCAGTGATACCAGCTCTCCTTGCCAGTCACAGGAGACCCACAGCTCTCTTCTTTGGGGAAGGTGGGAATGGGTCAAAGAAACAGGGAGGAAGGTTTCCCTCAGCAGGGCAAATGAGAGGGGAGTCTCCCAAGGTGTCCTTGGGGCAATGGATGGTAATTCCCTTGCATCCCATTGACATCTCTAGTAGCTGCATTATCTTGTGCCAGGGTCACTCAACAGCTCCTCTGGCTTCAGGGAATTAAAGATCTGCCTGGGATGTATCCAGATGATAAAATAATCAGATTTCTTGGAGGGATTTCAGTGGTGATTTCATAGATTTCATAGACATTAAGGGACCTTGGAAGATCATTGATTCCAGCTCCCTGCCCCAGGGGCAGGAAGTCAGCTGGGGTCACAGGATCCCAGCAAGATAAATGTCCAATTGACTCTTAAAGGAGTCCAGAGTAGGCACTTGCACCACTTCTGGTGGCAGTCCGTTCTAGGCCTTGGGGGCTCGGACAGTAAAGAAGTTATTCCTTATGTCCAGCCTGAAATGGTCTTGGAGGAGTTTATGACCATTTGACCTTGTCATCCCATGGGGCACTCTGGTGAACAGGCATTCCCCCAGATCCTGATGTACACCCCTTATGTACTTATTGGCAGCCACCAGGTCCCCCCTGTGCCTGCGCTTTTCCAGGCTGAAGAGTCCCATAGCTCTCAGCCTCTCATCATAAGGCCTGTTTTCCTGCCCTCTGATCATGCACGTGGCTCTCCTCTGGACTCTCTCAAGCTTCTCCACATCCTTTATAAATTGTGGAATCCAGAATTGGATGCAGTACTCCAGCTGCGGCCTCACCAAGGCTGAGTACAGAGGGAGGATGACATCCTGGGATTTGCTAGAGAAACATCTATGGATGCAAGCCAGAGTTTTGCTCACTTTGCTGGCTGCAACATCACATTGATGGCTCATATTCATCTTGTGGTCAATCATGACCCCCAAGTCCCTTTCGGCTATGGTGCTAGCACGTGTAGTACTGCTGAGCCTATAAGCATACTGTGGGTTTTTCTTCCCAACGTGGAGTACCTTGCATTTTTCACTGTTGAAGGCCATCAGGTTTTCATCAGCCCATTTTCTGAGCCTGTCAAGGTCAGCCTAGATCACCGTCCTGTCCTTGGGTGTGGACACTTTACCCCAAAGTTTGGTGTCATTAGCAAACTTGGCCAGTCCACTTCTGATACCAATGTCCACATCATTAATGAAGATGTTGAAAAGAATAGGCCCAAAGACAGAGCCTTGGGGGACCCCGCTGGTCACAGCATACCACAATGATTGACTTCCATTGCCTACCACTCTCTGGGTCCGACCTCGGAGCCAATTCCCCAGCCAGTGGACTGTGATGTAGCTGAGGCCACAATTGGCCAGTTTTTCTATGAGATAATTGTGGGATACCAGATTGAAAGCTTTTTTAAAATCAAGATATATGATGTCAATCTCGTCTCCCTTGTCCAGGTGATATGTCACCTGGTTGTAAAAGGAAATGAGATTGGTCAGGCAAGACCTACCCACAACAAACCCATGCTGGCTATCCCTCAGGAAGTTGCCTTCAGCCAGTTTGTCAAGAATAGTCTCTTTGATGATTTTTTCTAAGATCTTCCCCAGGATAGAGGTCAGGCTAATGGGCCTGTAGTTCCCCGGATCTACTTTCCTCCCTTTCTTGAAGATAGGCACTACATTGGCCTTCTTCTAATCTTCAGGCACTTCACCTGAGTGCCACGAGTTCTCAAAGATCCGTGCCAGTGGCAGAGCTATGATGTCTGCCAGCTCCTTAAGTACCCTGGGGTGTAAGCTGTCTGGGTCAGCTGACTTGAAGGTGTCCAGCCTCTCAAGGTGTTCCTTCAGATGGTGAACATTGATGAAGTGTAACAATTCTCCCTCGCCCCGGCCACCCTGTACCATATTAAGCAGGGCTGTCCCTTGGGGCTGGTGAAAAACTGTTGCAAAATACCCATTAAGCAGGTTGGCTTTTTCCTGGGCATCAGTTGTCAGTTGACCCATATGGTTTAGCAGGGGTCCACTGTTACCCTTACTTGTCCTCTGGCTCCCGACATATCTAAAAAAGGACTTTTTTATCGTCCTTGATACAATGAACTCCAACTGGCTACACTCCAACTGTGTAGCCAGTTGGAGTTCAGTCGCAGCCTTGGCTTTCCTGATTTGCTCCCTACAGGTCCAGACCAGTGCAGAGTGATGGTGATGTCTGCTGTTGAAATGGTTCCTCTGAGCTGTTTCAAAGGTTCCTCTGACAGTAGTTTGCTCTCTTGACAGCTTCTTGAGCCATGGCTCTTCTCTGACAAGGAGTGGGAGAGAAATAGGGCCTTGCAAGCCAGCTCCCAGCTGCTTGTTGCCTTTCGGGAGACAGTCTATTGCAAAGTAAGTATGGTCTAACTTTCTCTTGCCTTGATATCCTCATGGCAGTCTCTCCTGGAGATGCAGAAAGCTTCCCTAGCAGGCAGGGTCCCACAGGGATGCATTCCTGTTTTCACCTTCCCAGGATCATAAATTTGAATGTCACCAGATCCAGGCACCTATCATTCATTTCTTTTTCCTTTTTTCTCAGCTACAAGAGCCCTGCTGGGGCTGCTGGCCCCCTACACCTGCACCTCTCTGGTCACATCCTGCCTGTGGGCTGCTGAGTGCATTGCCTGCCTTCTCCACCTACAAGATGAGGGCACTCTAAAGCAACATTCAGTCACAGGATTCACTTCTTGCACATGCACCAAGTCGCCATAGGGCAGAAGCTTATGCACAGCACAACTCTTTAATATCACTCTTGAACTCTGGGGTTCAGTGCAGTTTCCCTTCTTTCTATTTTTCATCAGGTCATTGGCAAATACTTTCCATCCAACCAGGCCCTTGACTTTGTGGGGAGCATAATGGATGCCATGCTGTCTTCCAGCCCCATGTGTGTCACAGCAGCAGGACATTGGCTTATTACGATCCTTAGGGAGCTTGGAGATGCCCTTCTGGATGAGGTAAAATTGAAGCTGAGGAGTCTTTCTTCATTTGCTTTATGCTTTTCAAACACTGCTTTCATGTGGAGTGAATAGCAATCTTACTGTTGATCCCTGGACACAAAGCAAGTTCCATTTCCCTTACTAGCCAGAGATGGGGAAGAGCAGATCAGCGGTATCCAAGAGAAAGAGCACAGGAAGGCAAGACAGGGATTCAGTGACCTAGGTTATTGATAAGAGGTTTCAGCCCTGGAAGGTTTGGAAACATAGACTCTGGAGCAAATACAGCAGGAGAGGGTAACAAGGAGTCTGAGGCACCCGGCTGTGGCTGGGCTGTAACCCCATGCTTAGGCATGAGGATGCACACTTCTCTCAGTGTCACGCCATGCAGGCGGTCCATGGCAAGGCAGGAACTAGAGATGGTTCTGTGTCCTCAGGCCTTTCCCAGCCTTGGTAGAGGCTTTGTGAAATGCTGCTTCCATCCTGCTCCTCTCCATGGGGTTGGGAACAGGGCACAGGAAAGAATGGATGCCAGAGATACTGCAGCTTCCCCCTCCCCTGTTCTAGATGGGACTGGCTATGGGCAGCTGGACCTACTGCCCTGCAGGCCTGGCCATGTGCAGAATAGGGAGGTGTAGTTAGAAATGAGGAGTGTGAACTCCAGTGTGCAGTTCCAGCATAGCTGGGTTCACCTGGAAAAATTAGTTACAATCATCTTGCTCGTGGTCCCAGGGGTTCTGAAGGTGATGGTGCTTGTTGGTCCTGAGCTGAGCATTCACACAGGCAAAAGGCCACCCCCATATTTGTTGATATTTGTTGGGGTGTTTGTGTGAGCACACAGGCTAATGTCAGGCAGAAATAGGTCCTGGGCAGCACATGCAACTAGATTGTAGGTGTGTGCACATGGGTGGGGGAATGGCTGAGGTTGTGTGGCTTGGTTGCGGTCTGCCCACATGTCACAGTGTCCACTTTCACCCCAAGTAGGGGCATAGGGATGTGCTTATTTCTTAGGATCACCCAGAGACAGCACTGTCTGGACATTGGTCCCTTAAAGCAAGGAGTTTCTAAGATGCAGCAAATTGCCAAACTGTGGGAGGGATTGGTTTGGATTGTGCTGGCTGAATGAGAAAGGGGCCCTTGTTCTTGTTATCTTTCCTCCAGGTGCTGGACATCCTGGGTACCATTTTTATCTGGATGCTGACAATCCAGGAAAGATCTGTGAGAGGCTTCCTGCTGGAAGGTGTCTCCATTCTTGCTGGCTTCCATCTCGAGGCAGTGACCAGCAGCCTCCTTAGAAAGCCTCTGCCAATGGACAGGTACTTACCACTCCCTACCTCTTGTGCCTGGTGGCACACACACATCCCACAGCCTGGCAAAGCCCATAGAGTTTCAAGTCAGCTGCAGATCCTTTGGGATGACTTGGTAAGAGTCAATGTCCTAGTGCATTTGCATAGGAAATGTCTGGCTTGTGCCTAACGGCATTGGGAGATGACATCACTGTGCCCCAACCCCATCCTCCCTTGGCCTTTGTTTCAATGTCCTTTTGCTTCATGACATTCCCAGAGTATCTGCAGCTCATATGTACTTTGTGTTAAATTGCAGTGATACCTCTGAGCTCTGGAGGACCTTGGGAGGGGATGATTTTTTCAGCCTCCACATACTATGCTTGCTCATGAGCAAGATTCAATGCCTGGCTGGCACAGACAGGAGCTCAGTTGAGGACACCGCGGCCCTTGGACCTCTAGCAGTAAGTGACAGCTCAGGCCCAGCTCTGTCAATTCCTCCCTGAGGGCTAGAGTCCTCATTCTCGAGAGCTTGAGGTAGGGCGCCAGGTTGTGGGGCAAGCTTTTCTCCCCTGCTCTCCTATCCCCCTGGTCACCCCCGCT